CGCGTGCAGCCGTACCGATAATTCCCGACGGTAGTGTAACTTTAAAATTATCGTTATCAACTTGTAGAGCATTAAAAAACGCTTCGATTGACCTATTTTTGAACCTAATTCGATAATAAATTTCGAAAATATTAGTATTTTAAAAACCAAGAATTGTGGAAAATGACATTTTCTCAACTTTTTTGTTTGAAAATTTTTGTTTAACTTTTAAACTATTATAAGGGTGACTTTCACGTAACTGTGCAATTTCAAAATCAGTTTTAAAAGAAAAAATTTTTTTTTTAATGTTAAACATCAGTTTTCCTCATCATTAGGGCATAATATAGTTGTAATTTGAACGGTTTTACTACAGCTATAATTATAAAAAAATTATAACAAATTTTCAAAAATTGGCTGCCACGGAGCTGACCACCCTATGCATTGAATTATACTGCTGTCAACTGGGGTTTTTTTTTGTACGAGGTATATTTAATAAATAAAATTATTAAAAAGAACTTCTTTGTCAAAAAACCATAAATAAGTTAATTAAAATCCTTAAAACGATTAAAACTTCAACCGGTGAGTAACATAACGGCAAAAAATTAACTTTAATTAATATTTATAAGTTTTTCAAATTAGTTTTAAAACTATTTCTCTCGTTTCTCTAATAACTTGAAAAGCGTATTAGATATTAAATTGTTATTTATTTAACCATAAAATATTAATTTCAAGTTTTTGACAAATATCATATTCAAAACGTTTAAAAAAGCTCCTATTGAAATGATGAAGTTATTTACATGTGTTTAAATGATAGTATTATATATTATCATAATGTATTATTGTAAAATGTGTATTTAAAAAGAAAAAGTGTTATTTATTTTCTGAGTAATATAAAATTTGAAGAAAGGTTGTTAATTTTTAATAAATCATGATTTTAGCAAAATATTAGTGTTTTTTTACATTTTGTTGTATACCTAATATTTACAACATTTTTTTTTAATATCTCCTTTTTTTTTAATTTACTCTGAAATATCTACACAAAAGATTTAATGAAGAAGAAAGGTTCAAAAAAATGTTTACGTAACATTATACAAAGACAAAGTTCGATGCACAAAGTAGCCCCATCTCGGGGTCTATTTTGTGCACAACTTTTAATGACTACAACTCCGACAAAAAAATTTATTTTATTGCCTAACTCATAGGAAACCTTCAGAAGGAAGTCCATAACATATGTCAAAAGTTTATTTTCTTTTAATTCTGAATTTGAATAAAGCATTGAGTTAAAAAAAGCATTTTAATGCACAAAATAGCCCCTGAAAAAATATTTACTATCAGCTTGACATAACGAGATAATTTCATTTACATAATATTATGAAATTAGCGCATAAAACTAATTTCAGAAAAGTATTCACCAATAAGAGCGTTACGATCAACAGTAATACTGTGCTTCTGCTTCCCGATTGAAAAAGTCTGTCTGGATTTTCCACATGGAAATTTACGCATAAATCCATGCGGAGATTTGAAATAATTCACATGGAAATCCACATAGAAATTTTATATTTTTTCGATTTTTAAATATTTTTAGAAATAAACATCAAATTCGAATTCTGAGAGCATTTTTAAAGAGGTTTTAGTTCAAATTTTGTGTTTGTTAAGAATATAAAAAAATCCATGCGGAAATCCACATGTCAATCCATGCTGCTTTCATGTGGATAGTTTCAAATCTCCATATGGATTTCTACCTGAAAAGTCCATGGGAAAATCCAGACGATTTTTTTCAGCTGGATTGGTTGACATAAAGACATTTTAAATTAAGCACCAAAAGTAAAGGCTTTTTTCGAATATTAAGGTATTTTTTAATGATAATGAGTCAACGGTTGCCGAAGCACTGAAATATAAAAGGACACAACTATGTCTGTCCTCTTCTATAATATGTGTTGTTGTATCAACTGTTGATCAATGAATTTGCACCTTCACACTGTACACCACAGGCGCCACGGAACTGACATTTTATGTGACACCACGGAGCTGACATTTGACATTTAAACTAACCTAACTCCGACAATTTTGCAAAATAAATCTTTTCTTTGGGCAGATAATTTGTTTCTAATATAATCTTCAAAACAATCGTAATAATTACCACCTCTTTTTTTGTGAACTTCACATTTTTACAAAGAAAATTGTTTTTAAGTGTAGAACTTCCAATTTTAGAACTTTTTTTTACTAATATTTGTTGCTAATGGATCTTATTGTAGATTGTAATTCTTAGACAACATTAAAATGTGCCATAAACACTTAAATTATAGGGAAAAAATCTTATTACAAAATTGAAAAAATTTGTGGCCAAAACTATTTTACATTTTATAACTTTATAAGAAGTATTAGAAGATGTATTATATGCACAAATTGTAAAAAAAAAAAAAAATTACATTTTATAACTTTATAAGAAGTATTAGAAGATGCATTATATGCACAAATTGTTCACCTATATACACAATTCCCCAGGCAGAAAAGTTGGAGGTGTGCCAGCACTAACGACCGGCATGGTATCAAACCGGTTGTAAAGTCGGACTAATGCCGGTGCCGGCAAAAAGGTACCGGGCCGGATATGAAATAAATACCGGCCCAGTACCGGCCCGGTGGTAAATGTGGATTTGTACCGGTACTGGTAGTGTGTACCGGGCCGGTTGATTAAAAATATCTGGCCCAGCACCGGCCCGGTACTATAATTTACTTCTGTTTTTATACCGCCGAAGAAGATTTGCCGGTGATAATTTTTTTACCGGCCCAGCACCGGCCCGGTACTGTCATTTCGCTCTGTCTTATACCACCGAAGGAGATTTGCCGGTGTAAATATTTTTACCGGCATAGCACCGGCCCGGTACTGTCATTTCGCTCTGTCTTATACCGCCGAAGGAGATTTGCCGGTGATAATATTTTTACCGGCCCAGCACCGGCCGAGCACAAAAATTTACTTAGTACTTTCTACTGGCACATAAGTTTTACCGACAAAAATATTATTATAGGCCCAGTGTCATCCCGGTTGTTTGCTAATGTTAAACTAGCAGAAAAAGAATTAAAGAAGAGAAAAAAATTTGAAAATTAATTTATTAATTTAATTACTTAGTTATGCCGGAAATTATATTAATACCGGGTAGGTTGTTTATTGGTGCATGCCAGGTATCTAGCCGGTGAATAGGGTGGTTATTATTATTTATAATTACTATTTTTATTTATTTATAATAATTTAAATTAAATTATAATAAATTAAAAAATACAAATACTGGCCCGGTACCGCACCGGTTGAATATTAGTGCCGGCCCGGTACTGCTGCCAGCTGTAATGTCGGTTGGACTTTATAAGCTCACTTTGCATTTACTTTTCATATGCAAGTTTAGGTTAGCGGATGTGGTGTCGACTTTGCAGCCTCAGGGTCCTGTGTTCAACTCCTCGAGTCTTCAGATTTTTCTATAATTGTTTATGTTTCTCTGTTTCAGCATTTAATTTATTTACTGTTTCCAATTTAAAATTAATAATAACATTGATAATAATAATAATAATTAAACAATTAATCAGACTGACATGTAATTTTTTTAACCGGCCCGGTACCACACCGGTTGTTTTTTAGTGCCGGCTAGGTACTGTGTCAGATATTCATCAGTGCCGGCCCGGTACGGTTGCCGGATACCTACCGAAGTTATCATCCGGCAATTTACCGGTACTGCGCCGGTGGAATGAACACACTTTTGCCGGTACTGGACCAGTACCTAGCTGGTTGTGCAGCCGGTAATAAACCGGCACTAAATGCCTTCCAACAATAACCGGGCCAGTACCGCCCCGGTGGATTATTCGGTACCGGCCCGGTACGTATGCCGGATACCTGCCGCAGTTATCATCCGGCAATTTGCCGGTACCGAGACGGTAAAAATTACGGTCTTATGCCGGTACCGCCCCGGCACTTATAATCCGCCGTTTGTACCGGGCCGGTACCATCCCGGTCGTCAATTTCTACCTGGGTCATATTATAAAAATGCTCGTTTCCAGTTTCGACGTTTTCAGTAAAATTTATGAATTTTAACTTAAAATTTTAAAAAACGGACACGCCACGGAGCTGGCATTTTGGAGGGAATTCTACAATTTATAAAAAATTATAAGATCTATTTGTACATATTTGTGGTTGCGAATAGGTTTTATATATACCTGTAAAATGTATCAACACCCAAGTAAAAATTTTTTATTTTGAATGTGTTTTCTGTGACGCCGCCAAATATTACAGTTACGTGAAAATCACCCATAACTATCTTGTAGGGTATTTAAAAATACATTGATTGACCCAAGATTTAGTCACTTTTACCATATTTATAAAAAGTTATTCATATATTTCTATTATTATTATCTCTATGAGGAAGCAAAGTGTTCATGAAATGAGCACCAAAATTAAAAAAATATATACAACTTGGCAGCGGTTTTTTTATTTAATTGTTTAAGAGTAAAAAATTATCAAAATAAACATTGTACCGTAAAACCCCAAAACTTTCACCCCCTCCCCCTCGGAAAATATTATGGACTAAGTGAAAAAATATTTTCACCAAAAATTACTATTTATTAGTACTACAAAAGCCCCAAGTTTAGAAAATTATTTGTTATCTTCATCACTTCCCGTGGAATCGCTCATATGTGTATAGTAAACAAATATATATAATAAACTACACACCATAAATAAAAAATCAACAGCTTTAAAAGTATTTTGACAATGTAATACAACCTAAGTCATTTCTACCCTGAATCCGTAAAAAATACTTAAATTTATTCTAACATTTTTGTTTTATTTCCTATACATAAGAACCCAAAATTTTTAAGAAGGATATAAAATACAAGTAATAATACGGAGAGAAAAACCCTCTTCCGTTAAGAATTTTGCTTTTGATACCATTTAAAGGAATCCGCTAAAATGAATTTAAAATGAATTGCATTTTTATGATGCACTTATATTTTAAAATATTATGTTTACTTGTTTTCAGAAATGGCAATTGGGAACAGTCTTCATTCCGGACAGTGTTGGTTACCTAATTGGAACAAATTTTTTTGGAATGATCGCCTATCACTATGGTCGTTGTAAAATAGCTGTTCTGGCAATGATTGTTGTTGGCATTAGTGCTACTTTGGTCCCAACGGCTACTACAATGTCACAACTCATTATTCCCCATTTAGGCATGGGGTTGGGTATTGGAGTAGCAGACGCTGCTTTGGTCCCTTTATTAGCCAGCCTGGTTGATCAAAGTGGCAATTATGGTCTAGTTTACTCCATCCAACAAGCAGCAGTCAGCCTGGCTTACTCACTGGGTAGGTTGTTGTATTATGAAATACGTGTTTATATCAAACTATACAACCCGAACATGTAAATTGCACGGTTTAATCTCTCGCATATCATATCTCTCATGTAATTCACCATTATATTCTCAATTTTCAAGTAACGAAACAAAAAATAACGTATTTTCGCAATGAAAATTCAAATTTTATAATGAAAAAGGCTGCTATTAAAAAAGTATTTTTGTCGTTTTTCTTATTGAATTCAAAAGTTTTATTAAATAACATACAAATTTATTAAATGGCAGTAATATTTTTATTTGTCCAAACTGCAATATAACCGAATAATATTAATTTAATAGAAATTTAATTAGACAGAACCATCATTTCACTGAATTTTAACTTGACTGACAATTTGTCCAAATTGTCATTCAACCAAATTGGTACTATGAACTAAATTGTCATTTAATAAAACAATTAATTAACTCAACAAATATTTAATCAACTCGTTATTTGACTGTTTGTTATAATAATTGTCAAACTGTTTCACCAAATTCTTAAAAAATTTGATTATTTTCAATGAAATTAAACAAAATTTTTAAAAAATATTTTTTATTTTAATACAATACTTTTAACATAATTTAGAATATTTCAATCATTTAAACATTTTTCAAATCAAATATTTTTAAAAATAAAAAAATATTTTTCGAAATTTTAAATAAAATAATTAAAAATTTAAATAACTTTTTAAAATAAATATTTAAATCGTTATTATTTCTTTTTTTGCAACTAGGGGAGACTAGGTGCAGTTGTTACAATTTTGATAAAATCAGTTACAGTGATTAGAGTTTAACTCCAATTTGTTTGGTCATATAATTAAATCAAAGGTATATTATCTAGTTTTTGAGTGACAGCCTGTAAATTGTAACAACTGCACAAAGTGAATGTCGGTTGTTACAATAACAAGAATCATCTATAACATTTCTAAATTGAAGACAAATAATTTCTTATAACAACTTTTATTAATTATTCATAATTTTTGACTCAACGTAATAGTGCGTGACAGTGTCATAGAGATGGCAGGACTAATATTGTTTCGAATTTTTTAAAAAATATCCGTTCTCATCATCACTTGTAACAACTGCACAACAGGTACATTTTTTACAATAAATTACTTTATTAAAAAAGTATACACTAAATGTGAACAACCAAGGCAGTTTGTTAAAGCTAAATCCTCATAGAATTAATATTAAGGTCTATTAGTTATTTAAAAAATATCTACCAGAGAAATATTTACTTTTGGCCTCTAAAAACCAATGTGCCTATTTTTTTTCTTGTAAAGCTTGCATATAATTTTTAAACATAGTGCAGCAAGTTCGTACATAAAAACTAAACATTTTTCCCTTTGGAACCCCATCTCTATACACTGTTTTTGAGATATTCCATTTGTAACAACTGCACAGCGTAACAACCGCACCTAGTCTCCCCTATAGCTCTTTAAATATTCAATTAAGAATTAAAATACTATTAAAATTCAATTATATTTCATATTTAACTAAAATTTTATGCTAGATCAATTTTTTAAAATGATTTTTAGAAACTTCATCAAGTCTTCAACTAATAACAATGAATTCAATTAAATCAGAGTCTAAAATTCAATTATTCTTAAAATTTTTAAATATATAAATAACATGCGTTCAAAAATCAATTAGGTACTTAAAGAATTTTTAAGTTAATTGTTTTTGCTTCTTATAAGGAAGCTTTGCATTCGTGACGATTTTCAATATCGGCTCATTTTCATCTATAACATATGTATATTCAATTCTGAGCAAATGTCCAGATGTATGTGTGTGTGTATGTGTGTGTGTGTATGTCACAAAAATTGTGTACAAATTATCTCAAACAAATTTTGATGGATTGTCTTGAAATTTTGCAGGTTTATTGCAGTCATTAATACCTAAAATCTGACACAAAGATTTTCAAAAATATCTAAAAAAGAAATTTTTATACAATTTTTTTAAAATTAAAAAAAAATTTTTTTTTGTATTTTTGTAAATAATTTTTTTTATTTGTTAATATTTTAATTAATTATTCTCAAAATTACATTCCTGACAAGAAAACGAATCGATTGATGTATACAAAGTATATTTTTTATCAAAATTTATAAAATTAATAGAAATTTTTCTTTTTCACAAAAAATTCAAATTTTGTATTTTTTCATAATTTATTTAATATTAATATTTTTAAATAATTATTCTATTATAAAAAAAGAAGCAATTTGCATATGAAATAGAGGTGTGCATTTAATCGAGTCGAACCGAACATTAATCGACTCGACAACAGAAAATTCGAATCATTTCGAATTGCAAAAGTTTGCAAACCGCAATATAATTACATTTAATTTATGAATATATCTCGCTGCATCAAAAAGAAATTTCCTTAAGAAGAATGTATGCTTTGATTGTTATGCTTTTGAAAAATCATAATTTGGTTTTCATGGAGATTTGTACCTAAAATGAAGTAATGAATATATTATTAACTTTAGTAAATATTTTATATGTTTGATTGGATTCTATCCCGATTCTATGCGATAAATTTAATTTTATACATATGTTTAGATGGAGTTTGCTAAAATTTTGTAAGTGAATTACGTCACGAATTTATATTTTATATGTTGAGGAAGCTAAATGGTCATGAAATGAACAACTTGTTTTAATTTTGAGCACCGCAAGTGGCTTTTTTGTACCACCTGGAGGGAGAAAAAAGTCACCTCGTGATTTTAGCAAAGTATGTTATTAATTTTGGTATTTTTATAGTTTTCCTTTATTTATATGAACAATAATTTTATTTTGTAAAATAAGAAGGTTAAGTGTAAGTAGAAAACAAATGAATTTCACATATAATATTCAATGGATTTTTGTCCCTGGCTTTTTAACCTCCAAGACCAGTTTTGATAAAAGCTATATTAAATTTTAAATTTAGATCAATTTCCAAAAATTAACATTTTATACGTTTTGAGTATAATTTTCTCCTTATATACAATAGTTCTAATATACAAACATTTACTTTTATTATCCTTTTACTTAAACACGTTGTAATATGTTTGAAAAGTTCATCAAAATGTTTTGCGCAGAGTAACTCAAAAATTAAAATTACAAGAAAAACTATATTACTACATATAGGTACAACATCCAAACTAGAATCGAAAGTTTTTAAATAAATAGTTTTTAAATAAAACTCAATTGACTTTTTTACATCTTGGCTTTTTCACCCCATTCTATCTTACACATTTCTGGAACGAAAACTGCACTTTACTACACTGTGAAGGAGTTAAAAAGTAGTCAAATCTACAAAAAAAATCTTTGAGTGCACTTTGCCCAAAATTTGATAATTATTATTTAATTGTAAAAGAATAATTTTTTTTTCTCACTTGCGAAATACATGTATTGATTGTTTTATATGCGAGACACATAACAAGAGGAGAAACGAATTCAGTAAACTACAAGCTAAACAAGAAGTTGCTACTTTTGTTCATCTAGTGGGACATGAGTCGTAGAAGGGTTATAGAAATAAAGCAAGCTTTGTATTTTCATAAGGGGTAATTCTAATACTCTTTCTCTCTAATTTTTCTCTTATGATTCCAGGGCCTATTATTGGAGGTGAATTGGTTCGATCAATTGGATTTCAATGGGTCATGCGAATTGTAGGACTGGCGAACTTAGCTTATTGTCCATTGCTGATATACATTGCATTGGAACAAAAGAAACTTCTCACTCAAGTTGAGAAAAAGGACTATAATTCCATTCAAATGCCACCGATAACCAAATACCAACGTTTCTATGATTCTGACGATGGTCTTTGAGAGTATTCGAAAGGAAAAAAACACATCAATTTATATTCATATATACCAACTCTTTCAATATCAATTTAAAAACTTCACCTCTCTTATATATTATTGATATTCGACTAATACTTTTCCAATTTCCTTTACTTTCCTGCATTTATATACAATAAATTATATGTAAACTGAACAGAACAAAATTCTCACTAGATTCAACTTCTTTTTTAAAAAAACTTTTCTGCGTCATTCAATATATTGTCAACTATTTCTCTCTCGAAATTTGAATTAATTAAAAATAACTAATTATTAATAGACTAAAAACTTTCTTATTACTAAAATTTTGGCTGAATTTGTGCTTTATAGAAAAAATACTCAAAACTATTTTAAAGAGTTAACGGAAATTTTAATTATTTCAACAAAAGGAAATTAGTCTAATGATTAATTATTATTCTTAGCTAAATACAATATGGAAACTTATTATTTAAATTAGTGATTAATCTTTTGCTAAGCACTTAGTTATTTTTAATTAATATTAAAATCTGATTAGAGAGAAAAAGGGAGAGAGTAAATCTTAATTAGTTTAATATAATAAACTCTTAGTAAGAATGTTATGTATACTTATATATCATAGAAAGAGGTTAAAAATTTAAGGAAATTGTGACAACACGACTAAAATTTAACTGATAGATTTCACTACTTTCAATAAAATTATAAGTTTAAACTTTAAATCAATTAAAAATAACTAATTTTACAGCGAAAACTTAGTCAACGATTTAAATAATAATAATAATAATATATCTGCTAATAATAACTAATTATTAGTTAAATTCATTTTTATATTATGCAAAAATAACCAAACTTTATAAATTAGTTACTTTACTTATTTCAACAATTAACAGATAGTTAATAATATTTTATAATAATTTATATAATTTATATTGTAATATTTTTAGTTACTAACAATTAATTATTTACTCGTAAAAGATACTTATTACTAATAGTCATTTGCTACCTAATATTTGGTTATATTTTTACTAATTTTTATAGTAAAAATACAGCCACGATTTTACTAACGACTATTTAATTTCAGTTAATAATTATAATAATAAAACGGCTACCAAGTTAAAAGATGAATTTATTGTTTTTATTTTATGAACACTTTGCTTCCCTATGGAGATTTTTTTCAATCAATTTATTTTATTTTCTGGCTGATTTCGAATCTAATGTTAGTATTAAAAATTTCAAAATAGCGGATCCAATATGGCGGACAGGATTTTAAAAATCGATCAAATTCGTCTCAAATTTGTTACTCGAGGGTTTTCAGGGTCACTGTTTACGAATCCGATGACAGATATCGAAAATTAAAAAAGCTGAATTCAATATGTGCGAATTCGATCGATTTTTAGAAAAGTCGTCCATCATATTGAACCCATTATTTCGAATTTTCGAAAACTGACATTGGATTCGTAATCAGCGACCCCGAAAACCCCCCGAGTAACGAATTTGAGACGAATTTGATTGGTTTTTGAAAACTTGTCCGATATTTTGTATCCTCCATTTTGAAATTTTAAAAACTGACATTGGATTCGAAATCAGAGACTCCAGCAACCCTTGATTAAGGTTTTTAGTATAAATTTAGCGCTTAACTAAATTTATAGTTTGAATTTTTCCTGTAAATATTAAAGGGATGCTTAAAATGAAAAAGTACTTTCGTTTACCAAATCTAGTGTAGAATTGTCATTTTTAATCCAATCAAGGTCCTCAAGAGCTCAAAATTTTCGTAATAGAATAGACTGTCAATAAAAAAATTATAACCTTAACCTTTTTTAATGTTTGATGTTGAAAAAAATAGTAGAAGTTACTCAAGTGTCTTAAAATCATCAAAATTTTCATGAAATTTGATCTTTAATCGACTGTAACTCGCTTAATGTTCGTTGAATTTTATTCTATGACCTACAGATCGTAAGATAATTTATTGCCCTTTCCAATGGCATCTTATTCATTATATTTTGACAAGCTAATTTTCCTACAGGTAAGTTTAAGTAACGTGACACATTAAAAATGCAAAGTTTGCTGCTATGTACACAGCAAAAACAATGCTTTGTTCGATTGTCAATTTCACTGTAAACCAATGTATGTAATAGTATTCTAACTTGTTTATTTGTAAATTTTTTTAACAATCACACGTTGAAGAAATTTTAATTGCAATTTTTAAACAGTATTCATTAAAAAGATTTTCTTAAGTGCACGGAAAAAAAAGTTCGAGGATTATTCGGGAACTTCGTTCTTAACTCTTGGATACGGCGGGTAGTACACAGATAACTAAAGGTTGCCTCGTTTAAATATGTAATTTACTATTTCTCTACAAATTATAACTATTTCACCACTTCTCGGCAAACTGTTCTTGAAAAAGTCGGGAACTGTTCAAGAAAATCGAAAAGTTAGGCGAATGCAAGAAAAAATGGATTCTGCTTCCCCCCTCCCACTTCCCCTCCTTGACACGTGCGCACACACACACACACACAAATTTATCCTTGAAGGTCACATACAATTTTTATTTTTTATTAAGTTTCTGAAATAGAAAAAACCATATTAGAGAAAAATCGACGGCGGCTGGAACAGAACTCGCGTACCCGAGAATAGAAGTCCGGCGTCTTATCCAGCTGAGCTAAACAGGCGAGTCAAATACCTCAGCATAAAATAAATATATAAGGCACGCAAGTCTTACTGACTGTGAGACTTGTTGAGACTGGTGCGCACTGGGTTTCTGTGCATAAAGATTCCTTGACGAGTTCCCGAAAATTTCAGAAACAGTTGCGGCCAGTGCCATGAACTTTACATGAGAAAGTAATGAAAAAGAGACTAATGGACTATTTATACACGTGGCATTCCAGGAGAAATTTACTACTTTTCGGAGCACCCTCACCGATTTCTTTCAAACTTGGTAGTATTACATTTGTTGGTCTAAAGTTTCAGAAAATCAATTTTTTAAGTAAAATCAATTGTTTATTTAAAAGTTACAACAATTGCTCAAAATTGTTTAAATGCCCATATCTTTTAAACGGTACAAGATAATTGAGTTTTCTTTTTTGCTAAAAATTCATAAAGACGAGACGCTTCAAAAATGTTATTAACATTTTTTCTTATTTTGTTAATTAAAAAAGTTATTTAAATAAATAAAATTAACTTTTGAGCAAGAATTCAAAATTAAATGACTTACGAACCAAAAAATTCCTTGTTTTTCACACATTTATATTCCGAAGAAAAAAAGTTGATCGAGTTTTTCAATCACTTATAATTTAAACAATTATTCGCTTGTTTACAATTATTTTGCAACTAAATGATCATCTGTTCTCACCTGCGCGCGACTACTGCTACGTCACGTCCGTCTGTCGGCATATAATATCCCAGTGAGAAATTGCCAATAGACTTTAATCGGTCCAATATCGGTCCAATATTGGTTGCCGTGCTGGGCGCCGATTGACTCCCAATATTGGACCAATATGGGCTGATGCTTGGGATGTAACGGCATCGCCAATCATCGGTTGTCAATATTGGTCCAATATTGGCCGAATATTGGCAACCAAGAGAAAAAAATTTTTTTAAATAAATTTTTTTTAATTAAATAATAATAATAAAAAATTAATGTTTATAATTTTTGTTTAATATATTTATTTGTTTAATTATTTATTTTTAATAATTCATGTAAATAATAAATAATTTATTATTTATAAATTATAATTATTTAAAAATGCAGCAGCTATTAGAAAATAGCATTCTGCAAAAAAATTCTATCATTGAAAAATCAATGATAGGCGAGAGAAATCCGCGTCTTTAAATAGATTCGCAGATGATAGACAAGAGATATCCGCGTCATTAAACGGATTCGCAGATATACTCTGGTCTCGCGACGAATCTCTCGATACTTATATACACTGGAGTCGCCGTGTCAGTTGCGAGAACGGTTACAGCGTCCCTCTTGCGGCGTAGATAAGAATTGCCACGTAAACTGCTAAATCGCTTTACCGACCGCCTTATTATACCCGCAGTTTACGTGACAATTCTTATCTCCGCCGAAAGAGGGACGCTGTAACCGTTCTCGCAACTGACACGGCGACTCCAGTGTATATAAGTATCGAGAGATTTGTCGCGAGACCAGAGTATATCTGCGAATCCGTTTAATGACGCGGATATCTCTTGTCTATCATCTGCGAATCTATTTAAAGACGCGGATTTCTCTCGCCTATCATTGATTTTTCAATGATAGAATTTTTTTGCAGAATGCTATTTTCTAATAGCTGCTGCATTTTTAAATAATTATAATTTATAAATAATAAATTATTTATTATTTACATGAATTATTAAAAATAAATAATTAAACAAATAAATATATTAAACAAAAATTATAAACATTAATTTTTTATTATTATTATTTAATTAAAAAAAATTTATTTAAAAAAATTTTTTTCTCTTGGTTGCCAATATTCGGCCAATATTGGACCAATATTGACAACCGATGATTGGCGATGCCGTTACATCCCAAGCATCAGCCCATATTGGTCCAATATTGGGAGCCTTTATTGGACCGATGATCGGTCTCTTGGCTCCCAATATTGGACCGATATTGGACCGGTGAGAAATTTCTCACTGGGATATTTGACAAGCGTGGAAAAATTGAGGTTATGTTTAATCAAAACAACACATTTCAATCTTTTTAAAGTTTTTAGCAGTCATGAAAAAAAAGTTAAATCAGGATATTGATATTCTGATATCCTAAAACTTTAAAAAGATTGAAATGCGTTGTTTTGATTAAACATAACCTCAATTTTTCCACGCTTGTCAAATATATTATATGCCGACAGATGGACGTGACGTAGCAGTAGTCGCGCGCAGGTGAGAACAGATGATCATTTAGTTGCAAAATAATTGTAAGCAAGCGAATAATTGTTTAAATTATAAGTGATTGAAAAACTCGATCAACTTTTTTTCTTCGGAATATAAAAGTGTGAAAAACAAGGAATTTTTTGGTTCGTAAGTCATTTAATTTTGAATTCTTGCTCAAAAGTTAATTTTATTTATTTAAATAACTTTTTTAATTAACAAAATAAGAAAAAATGTTAATAACATTTTTGAAGCGTCTCGTCTTTATGAATTTTTAGCAAAAAAGAAAACTCAATTATCTTGTACCGTTTTTTTGTTTTAATGGCGTTGGAAGGTCTGTAAAATTTGTAGGTTACAATTATCGCCCGACAAAATACGACACTGAC